CCAAGGCCTTGTTTCTTATACGTCTAATGAATACTGTCTGAACACCTACTGTATACAGAGCAGGTTGCCATGAGAATTATCTATATTACTGTTCTGGCCTCCATAAAATGGTGGAAAATCATTTCAATTTATTAAATAAATTATACATTTAATTACTGTCTAACACATTAATTAGCTCTAATTATGTTGGCAATATAGATGTGGATGTGCCGTATCTGCTTGAATGCACCATTACTCGGTGTCCTTATTTCAAAATTTCTGGTCCTTTAGAATTAAGAGTGCTGGGATAAACTGTGGGTCATGATTTGATGTGTGAATGGGAAATGTTTTTGGTGCTGAAATCAGTAACTATCTTGATATCCAGTAAAGGCTTTTAAGCCATCGATGCTCCAAAACAATGTGAGGAGCTCAGGGAGGCAATCGGAGCCCCCTGAGATATCTGGACTGTCAATTGTGCACAAGAGTGTGTGTCCCGTGTTACTTGAAGACATTTGCTGCATATACATGCTCCTGTGGGAAGAGGTACAACACCGGCCACAGCCACCTCGCCACCGGGAGAGGCTGCTGTCCCGTGAGGTCAGTCTGCCTCTGCACGTGGTCCTCTGTGCCTGCAGGACTGCCCTTTCTCTTCTGCCTTTAGATGGATCTTAATTTCAGGCCAGCTCCAGCTTTAAAACACTCTGATCTCATTGCTGGACGGTTTTGTAATACTTAAAAAGAGCACAGAGCTGAAAGAGCTAAGGTAATTTATTTGTGACGATTCTTTACAGTGACCCTTCCACCAGGAGAGTGATAGCATCATGTCTGTAAAGAAGGACCAGGTGACTGACTGATGTCTGGTGACCGGCAAGGAAAGTGAGACATTTTGAAGGACATTTGAAGCCATGCATAGTGACCAGGAAGAAAGAGGACGTGAGAACAGGACAGGAAGACACAAGCCCACTTTGAGAATCACGTGGCAGTGGTTGAGAGCTGAGCATTCTGGCCGTGTGCTTATGAAAACTTGAAGGCAGAGGCTGGGCTGGGAGTGTGAGTGGGGCCGACAGCAGTGCAGATGTGGGCTGTGATGGTCCTGCAAGTGGCAGGTGCCTGGTAAATGAGAGCAGGTGTGTTTGGTAGCCTCTACTTGCTATCTAGTAGGAACTACTTTTACCCCCAGAACAAATCAGTCAGCACACATCTCCCTTGATAAGGTTTAAAACCTCTGAAGCAAACATTTAGCATTTCCATGCCCTGGCTATCCTCCGCTGATCCTGGTCCAAATGTGACTTGAGTCATTTATTCTCTGTGTGACCTTGGAAGAATCACAGAACCTTGCAAAGCTTCTAGCAAAAGAGGATAAACAATGGGACCCATGTCCTAGGGTGTGAAGACTAAAGAGATCAGCATAAAAGGAAAGAGACAGTACCTAGCCGTAAATCTTAAAAAAAAACACGGATGATAAATAGCAGTGAAGAGGATTCAAATTCAGCTCATCTAATAATATACATTTATTTTACTGATCTTTTATTTTTTGCACCATATAAAAAAAATCCCTCAGGCTTTATTTAATTTTCGGTAATTACTATGTGTCAAATTATACCAGCAGTACTTTGATTATAATTGAGATGAATCAGTTTCTTATTTTCAGGCACTTTAAGCCTTGCCAAGACATCGCATTCCCTCCGTCTCCCTGGGCATCCCCATTTCTCCGTTAAGGACTACAGCCATGTCTAATTGTATCTGTCTGCTTCCTTACCTGGCTTGAAACCTGGAAGAGTAAAAAAAGCAATAATAAAAAAATACTCCATAAAAGTTAAGCAGATGAAAGAGCATAAAAGGAGAGACAGAGGGAAAGAAGGCAATTGGAAAGACCATTTTCTAGAGAGTGGTTAATAAACTTCCTTCACGTACATATTTGAAAAGACAAAATTATAGGCTGGGATATGTGGCCTAGTGGTGGGACCTTACCTAGCATGCACAGGGCTCTGGGTCTGAACCCAGAGAGAGAATCACCACACAATTATTTTAAAGATCTTAATTGGCTTTTATTTGCCATTCTATAACCAGGCAACACCTCTTCCTATAAAATAGGATGAATATTCTGATGAGCTGAACAGAGGTTTGGCTTTCTAGACCAAAGAGGGGTTGAGGAAAGCAGAAACAGAACAAAAAGCAGATTATTTCAAGTTTCTTTATAGCTTTGAAACAGAAGGGACTTCTTATTATGTGGGCTTAGGTAAAGTGCCCCTTTTTGATTGGTTGTTATAAAAATCCTATTTTTGGAAAACTAGCCCTTAGCTCCAGTGACTCCTTCTCTTCTGGTCTGTTCTGCTGGGGCCAGTGCAGGAAGTTAGTCCAAGACAGTGACCACCTGCAAAATGTAATTAGCACCTACCCAGTCAGGGCCCACTGGGAGCCTGGTTCTGTGCTTTTCTCCAGGTATCATGGTAAACACTGCTTGCCAATTTTGAAGATTTTTAAACATGTTATATATTTAAGTGTATCCAAAAGCACATGGATTATTATAGAAATCCTTTTTTTTTTTCTTTCTGGAAATAATGATAGCATTAAAGAGTATGCATTATAAAAAAAAAGGAATGGTAGCTTGCAGATAAGTAGGGAAAGATATTTCACTTTATCACAGGACATTCTCATGGCTGTGTGTCTACCTCTTTTACTTTAAGAAGAGCTTTTGCCTGTGAGAATGTTGTCGATGTAATTTGCAAACTTTATGCATAATTTTTAAATGAATTTTTAACATAGTAATGGAAAATTAAATTTTTCTGCTGTGTTATGCTGGTAGGGACTCTTGGAGAACTTTTCTAATAGTTTTAACTAAGCAGAATGTGTGAGATTAATTTTGGCGTTCTATTTGTACCAAGCTCTCTTCCAATAATGATAGCATTCTTCAGATTATGTGCACTGATAGGAAGATAATAAATGATATTAGTAGGAAGTAAATAAACACGATTGATTTCTATAAAAGCTGTCCAAAGAATGGGGAAAATGGACATCCTGTGCTTTAAGAACTTCTTAATAGGTTAATGCTAATCCTGTTTCTTAAGACCTTGTGTATATCCCTAGATGACGGTGGGCTCACAGTTTCTGCTTAAAGTCTTTGGGGGAGATCAATTCTCCCAGTTGTCCTCAAGCAAAGGTGCATTTCTCTGTCTTCTTAATGTTCCTGCAACACCCCCCCTGCTCTCACCCCTCCCCCAGGTCCCCCCCCCCAGGTGCTCTGGGGGAGACCAAGCCAAGTCCCGCCCCTTCCAGGCCTCTTCTTCCTGGGAGGAAACCCTGAGTTCCCTCCTTTAGGAGGAAGTAGGGAGACAATGGAGGGGCTGGACAGGAAGGTGTCATTTGTGACAGGACAATAAGAAGGCCATTCCTGACATTTTTGACTGAAGTTTCATGCATTGAAGATATTAGAGAAGGTAAATGAGGCTGAAACCTCCCAGTGCCTTTTTCCACCAAAACTTCCCTGAACCATTAACCGACTTCCACATGTTGCCAACAGGATCCGCCTCTGAATGGAACATCAGGGAAAGTCTGAAATGAGAACCGCTGTCGGGGCAGAGCTGCTTTGAAAGCTCCTGTGGGGTGGGAGTTCCTCCTCTGCCTCCCCGTCCCGTCTCCTCTTCTTCCTCTTCCCCTTTTCTTTCCTCCCTCGTCTCTTCCTGCTCTTTCTTTGCTCCTCATGTTCCTGGCTCTCTTCAGTGACAGTGGCAGGAGGACTTTGTGCTGTAGTTTTGGCACGCGGCACGTGGCCTGGGAGCTGCTTCAGGCCGACTCAGAGAAAACACGGTCCCACCATAAGGGCTTTGGTTTGTAGCTGGTGGAGTGGCCCAGCCCCTGGCTCCCGTTTCTTTTGCTGCCCCTTCCTCTCCCTAGAGGAGGAGAGAGAAGACCGACCTGCAGATTGGACTTCGGGCACTCTATCTGCCGGCCACGGCAGGAATTGGTACTCCAGACCCTTCCAGTGGCTTATTTGGAAGAAACATAAAGGCATTTTTTTTTTAATTTGAAATTATATTCCTCTGTACTGTCCCAGCACTTGTAAGTAAATGGCTATACTGTGACTTCATTTTTTAAGTGTTTTTCTCCTTTGCCCTCTGTCACCACCTAAAGGAACAGTAATCATTGCCATCGCCTCGCAACACCCCGTTGCTCCTTCAGCTGGGCCTTGCAGGTGGCGACTGTCCTCCCCCCACATCTTTATTAAGTATATTGTAATAAAGCTACTGACTGGAATAGGATGCAGCCGTTGTACAGAATGAGAAAGAACCATATTTACAAACAGGAAGTAGGTCTGCCTACATGCATTGAGTAGAAGAAATAAAATTATTGCTCAAATACAGAATCTCATTATGACAGCTAAAACTGTCCCCGCTAGGACGTGGCCTGGACGCATGGGTCCCACGGTGTCAACCAGAGTTATCTCTGGAGAACACTTTGGGGAGAGGGTAAAGGCCTGGGGGAAGGGCGGGCTTCACGTTCTGTTCTCTGACTTGCCCGAGGTTTGCCCATGTGTCATGAAGCTGCCAGTGTTGATGTGGCCGCTCCTGGGCCCTCTCTGATGGACGGGGCTTCCTGCCCGGGTTCCCAGGAAGTGCTCACCGTCCTGTCCTCCTCCCGGGTCTTGTCTTGGTCTATCTTCTTCAGAGCTCACATTACCAGCTCTTCCCCTCTCGGAATCCCAGGCTTCCTGCTTCCACCTTCTCCTTCCTCCATCTTCAGATTGCTCAAGGGTGGACAGAGGGAAGGGTGGATAGAGGGATGGATGGACAGGTCACTTGATCCATCCTGCCTGGTCCTGCCTCTCTTCAGTTACCACCCCATCACTCTCTTCCCCTTTACAAACCCCTCCCATTCCATACTGATCTGTTATTCCTCTTCCAAGTCAGTCTGAGCCCACTCTGGTCATTGAATTTGGGAGTCCACTATTCCCCATGTTTCCTGAGACCGGCCCTAGGAGAGGGGAAAGCTCATGACACGCTCTGTGCTTCAAACTCTCTCAGGCCTGTGAAGGCCCTCGCCCTTACCCCACTCAGGATGATGCTCTTCTACAGAGTGGGCCACAGCTCTGAGTGGGCGCTGCTCAACCCTCTGTTTGCAAGGGCTATTAATGTCTTCTCTGAGCGGAGAGACCCCCAGGAGGCTCCTTCCTGCTGGCTCAGGCCTGCTGACCCCTGCTGGTGCTGCAGTTTGCTGGCCCTGAGGTCCACGAAGCTGCATCCTGGTGGCCAGGTGCTTGGCATAGTCCTGGGCCTCTCCTCCCTGTCGGTGCTCCATAAGATGGAGCCAAAGCTGCACCGAGGGCACTTCTAGCTCCCACAGAGCCCCCCTGAGCAACTGCCCCCAGATCCTGTCCTGATGACCCTCGCTGGGGATGGCTCTCAGTCACCCAGCCGTAACACACCAGGTCTGAGGTGTCATCTCCACCCAAAACCAAAACCTCCCCTCAACTCCCAAGGGAAAGGGAAAAAAAGGGGAAAAGGAAGGGGGCGGGTGCCCAAGGAAAAGCCGCCCCGAACCAAGAACGTCCCAAGAACAACTCAAGCAAAAGAAAAGGGCCGCAAAATAAACCTGAGATGAACGAGGTGAGCGAGCCTGAGCCACGCAAAGACCGAGTCTCTGGATTAGCTGCACCAAAACATAGGCCTTGTCCCCTCCCCACAGATCCCCAGAGATGTCTTGAAATATTTCATCTTGGTGTGAGGAAATCCGTTCCAGGGGGTACCTGCCCATCAGAAAGGCCTAGAACTGCCCTGCCACAGCCTCTGCAGAACAGACCAGCAGGGGCAGCTTTAGGTTAGTTTTAACTCACATGCTACTTGGGGAAAAACAGCAGAAGGGAAGAGAAAAGCCCGCAGCTCTATCTCCCTGCTGCAGCCCAATAGAGGAAGAGACAGAGGGTCTTGGTACTGACAGACCCACTGCCACAGTGGATGATCATAAGTCCTCTGAGAAGCAGGTGGAGCCACACCCACCTCCTTGGAGTGGAAAGTGAGAAGAGAAGCCCCAGACTTCCTTCTCCTGAAATCCAGAATGGTGGATCATTTGCTTAGGTCTTGCTCTTTCCTCATTAAATACCTCCTGTCCCATAAAATCTCTCCTCTCCACCCAGCTCAGGTGTGCACTCACCTGCCCTGCCACACAAGTCTTCTAAGCCGCCTCCCTGGCATTTTTTATAGCCTCTATTCTACTTCTATATCCAAGCTGGAATGACCTTTGATCTCACTGCATCCTCCTGCGGCCGCCATCCCCTACATAGCAGCAAAGTCTCTGTGATCTGTCCATCACTGCAGCCCCGCCCTCCAGTCTGGATGCTCCTGCACATGCCCAGCTCTCTGCAGCCCATCTCAGTTCCTGAGGTCCTGCCTGTCCTGAGATCAACCCCTCCCCACTCCTTTCTGTGTCTTCCTTACCCTGTGCCTGTGTTGTCTTGCCCCTCTCCTCCTTGATGCTGTGGTCTCCTTCCTGTTTTCTCTTATTCAAGCCCCTACTCATCTCAAAGATCAGCTCTTTCTGCATCATCACCACCCCTTTGTAGCCTCACTCTCCCTCCTGGAGTGGGAAGGTTCCCTCCTGCACCTGATTATTTCAGTCCTCCAGTGGGAACACTGTAGTGGACCTATTTGTATACAGTTGGACCAGGCAGGGAGCTCCAGGGGGAATGGCATGATGTGTGGTTGACTTTTTTAAATTCCTGGCTTGTGAAACAACTTGGCACACATTCTTATGTCCTTAAAAAGTGGGATGGTTGGAGGGTTTGTATGAATGAATGGGAGTGTGCTTTTAAATTCTAAATAGCTATGCAAATGGAAGTCTGTTTTCAATGATATCTCCATTGAGTACATGGCCGGTGACTACTTTCTGGAAAAGGAGGAGGAATTAGAGAAATGGAAAAAGCACGTTCTCCAAAACACAAACATGTAGAGTTTTCTGCCAACCTGCCAATACTCTGATACTTTTGTAAAATACAGTAAGAAAATGAATTTTGAGAAAAGTTAAACAGACAACAATAAGACCTACCAAATATAAGTACAGGTTTATGAGTAGATTCAGCAGATATTTAGTTGTCCTGGCAAACTATGAGCATGCTCACTCTCAGCTTTGTACTTACCTCATTGCAGAGCAGAAACAGTGTGCAAACTAGTTCCTGCCCATTTACTGTACCTGCAGTTAGACTTGGATATTTTCAGTAACCACCCGTGGAATGAAAAAATTAATGAGAAGAAACTACTCATGTGTAAATCTAATGGTGGAGATGGTAAGGACATAAATTAATCAGAAAATAAACAGAGGACATTTAAAATTGCAAAACGAAAAATTATTGGAATGATAAAAAAAACCTTCTTAGTGTATGCTCACTGCCCCCCCCACCCCCAAAGTGGTGGGCGTGCATTGATCTCTCACAGAATAATTGTCTTAGTGCAAAAGTTTTAAATTGATCCTTCATTGTTAACAGTATGGTAGCCAAAGATGCTGACATTGTCAATAAAATTAATAAGCAGAACAACAGGCTCTAATAAATGTCACTGGTATCCTTACTCTGTCATTTTGAGCACAAATGAACTGTTATTATCACTGCACTTCAAACCTCTCATTTTGGCTCCAGATGATTATAGCTATAATGGAGAACTTGCTACTGGAGTCTTCAGTAACTGGTTCAAGGTTAAAGCCTCATACTTAAAAGCTTAACTGTGAACAGTGGAGGGAACATGCTGGGGCCATACGACTTTGATCTGTTTTCTAGAGTGACCTGCAAAATCTTGGACACCCAATGATCTATTTTCTCAATAATTTCAGAAAATAAGCATCTTTTAAAATCCAATGTCTGTACCATGGATGCTGAGGGTTTTGAAGCTCTCAATTAGAGAGGGCCATCATTGGTTGGAAACCAGGGCCATGTGAGTCTTTAAAGCCACATGGAACTCTTCAAGCCCCTTTTCCCATCTTTCTCTTACATGAAGAATTTAGTCTTGGGTTTCTGCAAGTGAGCATGCTTTGTACATGAAGTATGGAAAAGGGTTTTTCCTTCTCTTGAAAAGCCCCAAGGCAGAACATCTGGAGCCAGCCAGGTGAATTTGGGATGCGCACCCACCTCAGTCCCACCTCTCACCCTGCGTTGGTGTGGTTCATAGCTCCCCAGATTCTTCTGTTTTACCTTCTTAGTTTTGCATGCTACATGATTTTAAAAATGTCCAGCAAGGCATTAAACTATCCTCAAATATGGGCATTCCAAGCAAGTCGAGGATTAGCCCATTGTACCATGTGTGATTTAACAGAAATATTGATGAATACGTTTGAT